CCGGCACCCAAGGACGAGCCGCCGGTCGACAGTGACCTTGCCGGTGCCGTCGGGGGTCGGAGCGGGGCCGGGGCGCGGGCAGCGCGGCGGGGAACCCCCCCATGCGGCGGCGGTGGCCGCGGTGACGGGCGAGAAAATGCGGGAGGATCCGCGCTGCAGCCGCCGGCGCCGGGAGCGGGGAAATGGGTGTAGCAGCGAGGGGGGGTTCGCAGCCCCTTCCCGGCCGTGTCCTCCTGTTCCTCTGAAACCAGCTGAGATCCTGGGTTTGCTCTTGGGGGGTGGAGGGTGTTCTGCGGGGCTGGAGAGGTCACGGGGTGCTGCACGGCTCCTATGGCTGCTGCGGGCTCGGGCCATGATGTAATGAGAGCGTTTGGGGTACGGCGGGGGCGAATCCCTCTCCTTGGGTGAGGGAAGAACTTGATGTTGGTGTCTGATGGTGTGCTAGTACATTATGGATTTCAGGCAGTTGCCCCCACCCTGACTGGGTGTTGCTGCCAGAATCTAAATCCAAAAAAGGAATTTTTTATTTTATTCGATATTCAGAGATTCCTTTTTTCACTTGTATAGGAAATACTAGGATTGGGGTTTTTTTTTGCTTCTTGTGGTTGACCCAGGAAGTCATCTTGTTGCCAGCATTCAGGGCTTTTTTTTTGCTGTAGAGGTGCAGGGAGGAGGGTGTTGCTGTGCTCTGGATCCTGTGGGTAAGCGTTGAAGGCAGTGACAGCAGCTGCTGTTGGCTCTGGAGCTCTGGTTGCTATGAGAGAAGCTTCACTAGACTTGGCTGCTATCTCCAGGGAAGGACAGCAGAGCAGCCTCCATTAGTGTGGTGGTATAGGGATGGCTGGCTCATGTTCAGCAAAGGACTTTACTTTTTGGGCTGTTTCCACAGGCCTAAAGCAGGAACAGGGGTATGTTTTGGTCCTGTGGGACAAAAAGGTCCATGGTGGGTTTCATCACCAATCTTGAGTTAATGGAATTGCATTAAAGTGTGGGTTGGAAGCCCCAAGTTACCCTTTCCACATATTTTGGTCTGTGTGAAAAGTAGGGCAGCAAGAATTGATATGATCTTCCTGTGAAGTGAAGGCTGCAGTTGTGTCTTTTTTGAACTCCAGTCTCCTTCCCAGCCAGTAACAGAGCCAGATGCTTTTCTTATTGTTTGTATGTCTCCTTCCTCCCCTTCCAGCGCCTGGGCCCCACTTGCCTTATTGACTGGAATTTCTGCTGTGTGCAGTGGGTGTGTGCAGCAGACACCAGCCTGCTAGTGCTGAGGAGGGATTTTCCATTCACAGACCAGGGAACTGTCAAAATAAAGTCCCAGCTCAACTTTGGGACTGGAAACAAACTGGGGAGAGGAGTTTCCCTCTGCTGCAGAATACAATTTATTCTCTGAGCTTCTTTCATGCTTGTATGTCAAAATGCATAGGAAATGTTGCTCTGCTGTGGAATAGGGAGGTAAAACTCCTGTGGCTAACTGGGAAAAGATTCCTCCCTTTCGATTGACTCAAATGCTCGAAGGAACAGTTTGCAGGAGGCCATTTTTGACGTGACTCTGTATTGTGGAATCTGCCAGCTCCCATCCACACTCTGTCTGCCTGACTGCAATAGCTTCCTTTTTTTTTTTTTTTTCCTTCAAAGGAAGAATGAGTGCCTTTCTTATCTGCTTAACTAACCATTTGGCACTGGCCCCTGTCTGTATGATATTGTGCTGTCGAGTTGGAGCTATCAGCATATTCCAGTGCGTTTGTTAGAGATGAAACTGTTAGTTGAGGTATGCAGCATGGGAATACATTAGCATTAGAAAACACTGCCATCTTTGTAAACTAACACCTATCATGGGGAGCCCCTTGCCCTGGCCTGAGTTACCCAACTCAGAATTACTATGAGCTTGAAGCAAGAAAATTCCAGGACCAGAATAACGTGAGAGAGATTAAGATATGCCCTTAAATCCGATTGACTGGCAGCAATCATGTGGTAGATGCCAAATTCTGAGTAGCTTTTATATTTGGGGATCTGCAGCACCCAAATTGCCTCACAAGGAGGGGTGAGGAACTTTTAACCCCCATAAAACACATCTGTCTCTGGGGCTGGAGGTGTCATCCATTGCCTAACCTGGAGTGACATGATACCAGTACTGAACTCTTAATTTTGTGAATATGAAAACTGTTAGTTGTTTTAATGAAATACAGAAAGTGATCTTCATGGCCCCTTAGTCTTTGTTTACAGTCTCTCTGTAGGTTGTTTACAGTCTCTCTGTAGGTTATAATGGGGAATTGGTCCATTGCCTCACATTCTGTTGGATAACTGGCACCGCTTTGACAAGGCCCTGGCTCTTCATTTTACTGTCAAATCCCAAGTGACCTGAAAGTAATATTCCTTAGCTAATGTTGTCTGATACTTCCCTACTGCAAGGTGGGGTGATGAAATCCCATGTACATTTAAATCACTTTTTAGAAAGAGCCTCAGTTACCGCGAGATTTTATTTTAAAACTAATACATCAAAGTTGAAAAAATAAAGGAATGGGATGGCATTGAACTGGAATCTCAAAACATGAAAAAGTTAAACTCTTTTCTTCTGGAGGGAAAAAATCCAACCAGCAATCATTGATTTAAGTTTTCCAAATTATCCTTGAAGTAAAAAAGCCACATTTTTAATGCAAAGTTGCAGGTGACAAGTGTGCAAGGGAGAGCTAAATGTGTGATGTCCTAGACAAGTAATTTATTCATTTGTCCAGTCTATGCTTTCTCCTATTTTGGATGATCAGACTTTTACAAACTTGTGTTGAATGATGTGATGAGATAAAAATGTTTCTATCTATTCTGGCAATATTAAAACAAACATAATGACTGTTCAGAGGTTTGAAAATTCAAAAATCATTGTTCTCATGACATTATTGCTGTATTACAAAAGCACATTTGTATTTTTACTCTGGTGCTGCTTGTGTGTGTAACTCTGAAATTTTGCCAGTGAAATGCCGTGTTGTGTGCAGTATATGGGAAAGATTGCAATAGGCAAAGTGTTCTTTATGTGTACAAGATGTAGTAGCAGTGCTTGAGTTGAAATGTTAAATGTGCTTAAGTATATAGCATGTGAGCTAAGTCTCAGTTGCCCTTATGAAACTTAAGCTGCTATTTGATTTTAAAATAAAAATGTTGTTGTATTTTACTTGTCTGTTTAGTTTTTTCTTCCTCTTCCAAATTCAAAGAAAAATATCTATGGATATTACAGCTTTTACAGATTCTACAGCCAGTCTTTGGCTCCCATGACTGACTTGTGGCAAGAGTTAGTGCACAGTAAGTTTGCACTTGCATTGTTAGGGATGGGTTTGCATAAATCTGGCTTAACCTAAACCTTTTGCTTATTTTGATCATGGAAAAAGCCCCAGACCATAATGCAGCAAGAGTTCAGCATTTTGAAACCATAGGACCATAGGAGCTGGGATTTCTTTTCCACTTTTTCCTTTTAATTCCTTATTGAAGTTGCTTGGGGGATCTTGGTTAGGGTTTTGTTTTTTTTCCACAGGATTTGCTATTTTGGTGGCAATTTTCCAGTATTCCTGTAGCAAATCAGTCGAGCTGCAGCCCCTGTCCCTGCTGAGCAGGGAGAATGTGCAGTGCTCCAGGCCTCCCCGCTGAGCTCACGCAGGGGTGGGACTTGCTAAGCTGCTGAAATCGCAGCTAATGCCCACTGAGCATGCTGAGAAACAGTTTTTCAACTGCTCCTAGTTTAATTTTTCTTTTTTCTATAATTAGCAAAGATGCTCTTCGTCTTGAAGGATGATCTACGGGACAAATCAGGAGATTCTGGTTCATCGTCCCCCCTCCCCCAACCCGAGCCAGTAGTGAAGTAGTATTTTCCTGTAACAAAAATAGCTAAAGGGATTTTTCCCTCACTTCAACCAATGAGTCTGAATTTGAAAAGCTGTGGCCCAAAAAAAGAAATCTTCAGCAAATAATAGTCTTAATGCTAGTTTTTGTTGCCACAAGTCCTATACAGGAGCTATCAGTATGGTTGTTTAAATTGTAAGTCTGCATCATTCTGATTCTTAAATATAATTTAAATGCTGAAACACATAGAACAAACAAACTATATTTTAATTAATATATTTGAGAAAGAAAGTATTTCTTGGTGAGTTTTATTTTCCTCCTGCTAAACATGCATAAGCCCCAATTATTTTAATGAGCAATATGGGAAATATTCAGGAAAGTGTACTGATGTACTCAGACTTAAAGGTGGAAAAATGTGGGAGGATTTGTCAGCAGTTTGAGTGGCAAGTTTTTAGTAAGCGGGAGAAGTAATTTCTTTTGTGGTCAGGAATCTAATAGTCCCACATTCACCAAACATGAAGAAAAAAGGGGGGAAGAAGAGAGAGGAACGCAGAAGAGTGGCATTGAGAAATGGTCAGGAATTTGACTTTTAGAGTGAAGTTCAGAAATGATCTGTTGTTTATGCTAAAGTGTAATCCTTATAAACTCGATAACGTAGACAGGTCTTGCATTCCTCCCTGAGGGTCACAGAAGGGCTAAGTTTAGCAAAGGGGAGGTATCCCAAACACTCAGATCTATCTAGTTTTCAAGGCAGCAAACTTTTGTGTTTTCATCCTGTTCTAAAGAAGCCTAGGTTTGTTGTTTTTTTTTTCACTTAGAAGCAGCCTTTTGAGGCAGAATGTGAGTTAGCTTTAAAACCAAAATGCCCTGAAATATTTCAAAGTAATTTCATAGTAGAAAGGTCACAGTGCTTTTGATGTGTTCATATTTAGAGCATGATTATAATTGCAATCATACACATTGACAAGAAGATATTGTCTGGATTTGGTAGCTGCTCATTTAGTGACTCAGGCCTATTGCTGTTGTCCTCACAGAGCTCATACCAGGGTTTTCTTCTGCAGCATTGCTAATTTACAGGACAAAATGTTTTCAGTGACTGTGCCAGCAACCTGGAAAACAGTATGAAGTTCTTTCTGATTCTTTCTTTCTTGACTTTAAAGCAAGAAGTTTGAAATGCAACTTGTTGATAAGGAAGGCATGTGAGACCCTGCCACCAAACTTTTTAACAGAACAAGCCTGCTGCTACTGATTCAGTAAAGGAGAAAAACGAAAAAAAGAGGATGCAGCCTGGACTTTTAGTTTGTTGGCATCAGATTATGTGGCCTCTTGGTTTTGCATGACTTTGAATCATGAAAATAAGTGGCAGAGAAAATTTGAGGATTATGTGGACAGTCATATTTGAATAAGGAAGCCCACATAAGACAGTATTGCTTACACTGTAGGACAGAAGGTTGCTTTTTGTTTCTGGGAGGAGAATATGGGAAGTGCAGAGGTTATAGCTGGTGGAAGAATGGGACCAGGAAGACTGAAACTTCTCATCACAGCTCCAGGTAGTGCAGAGACTGGGAACAGAGCTGTATTTTTCAGTGTGGTCATGTTTCCCAGTGGTGCCTCTGCCCAGATTGCATCTTTTTGGGAATGCTTTAAGTCAGGTTTTAGGACTGGAAGCCCTGCAGAATGCTGGTGTAGAAACTGCTGCCAAGGATCAGTTCTCAACTGTTTTTATGGGAGAGAGAGAACATATCCTTGCTTGTAGACAGGAAGGAGTACACTGGGAAAAGTTTGAGAACCAGTGATTTGGGAAACTGAAGTGCCCTGGGGGTTCAACAGGGAGCCCTTAAAATAGCATGCCTCAACCTGAACTGCACTATCAATTTATAGATACTTGGAAGAGTACGCAAGCCTTTTGCACTTGTGTGGCCTGTAACTAAAGACACTAAAACATTATTTGCTGTGTTTCAGTGACATTGTATTGGAATAACTTATAATGTTACAAGAGTGCTCTCAGTAACATGGCTGTAGATTAACTTTTGCTACAGCAAAGATCTGGAAGCTTCCTGTATAAATACATCTAAAGTGAACCTTTGAAGAAAAGATGACTGCTTGATTGAGTTAAGTAGGCTCTGTTAGACTGTAGAGGAGACTGGCTTGCTGCTTCAAAGTTCTCTTGCAGTTTTATGAACTTAAGGATGTTGGGGTTCAAGATGGCCTGGAAGTTAAGAGGGAACAAGGATACTTGCAGGGTGAGAGTCAGGTTCTGAGCTTGTCACAAACTCGCTTTGTTGTGCAGTTCTTCTAATTTGTACCTCAGGGTTTGCTTGTGTATGGAAATTGGTGTGTTAAACTGGAATGGTTGTTTGTGACGCACAGTATATTCATTGTACAGCTTTGTGCAGGTTTTTGGTGCACAGTAGTGTTCCACGGCAGTTCAGGCTGACAGCCCTGTTCTTCCCAATGTCACTTTTGCCTCTGTTCTGGCCCATGCCTGCCCCTGTAGTGAACTATTCAGGAAGACTACCATCCAGAAAACAAGTGCATTTCATATTTGAAAGGAAGAGTTTTCTGCTGGCTTCTGCCTGAACTGCTTGATTGTGGGGTCAGGTTAGCACCAGTGCAGGGAGGGATGAGGAGGCTGCACTGAAGCTGTGCCAGCTGAAGTCAGCTTGAAACTATTGCAGAACTGCACCCTGCGAGCGAGGTTACTCCGGGTGAAGTTACACGAGACAGCTGAGCATATCCAACTGCTCTGTTGCTGAATGGGGGAAGTTTTGTTCCCCCTTGCTCTCTCACCCAATGGGGAGTTCTGCCTTTTTTGTTTGCCAGCTCTAGTTCCTGCTGGATTCCTTTTCTGAACTCTTCCAGCTTGCTAACCCAGCAGAAAGCCGTGTTGGGGTTATTTTATGTTTTGGGTTTTGCCGGATTATTTTTTTGCCAAGATAGTGAACTGAACTGGCTCACTGCAAGATTTGTCAGGCATCCAGAGCCCTCACAAAATAAATAGGGGAAAGCATATGGGTGGAAGTGCAGAGGATGTGGTGGGGACCGGAGAAGGGGAACAGGGTCTCCGCCTTTCGGTACCACACCCAGCTTGGCCAGCTCAGGCTGTCCCCTGGAACTTCACACTCCTCTGAAAGGAGAGTGAGCCACCATCCACTGCGTGCTGACAAACCTGTGCTAGTCTGTGAGTTTGTGCCGTTGATCACTGTGTGTAGAGTGCTTTATTTAGATAAACCCTTAGTTCTTGTTTGTTTGAGAAGCTGGCTGGATGTGAGTTTTAATGTAGGCTTGATCTGTGATGGTGGAGAAGTGTTACAGCCTAAGCTTGGTGCTTAACTCTTTCAAAACAGCAAAATATTATAGGTATACTTTCGTAGAAAGTCAGTACAGCGGAAAGCTGGAGTGATGGCTCATTTTGGAAGATGGCAAAAAGTTAATTAGTATAAAAAAATAGTACTAATCTGTGTAAGTAAATGCACCACACAGTGTTTCTTATTTTTTTTAGCCTAGGAATTAAAAAGTCTTTGTTTTGTATTTACTTGCCAGTTGTTATGGGTAATGAAATACCGAGGTGTGTAGAAAATTACAAATTACTGAAGATACACTGTCAAATGTATGAAAAAGTCATGGCATGAATTCCGTGTAACTTCACTGAAAATATATATATAGTATGACTGAAACAATACAAAAATGTAATTCAGCCAAGGCCAGTTGCAGCAGAAACTTCAATCCTATTTCTTTAATATGGAAAACTTGGTTATAGCAAATCTGAAATAAAGCAATTGTCTGTGCACTGCAGACCCTGTTGGGTGCTGCTCTGTCTGCTCACTGCAAGCTGAGGCTTTGTCTCATACCTAGTGAGACTACTTGGTCTAACAGAACTTGAGGCAGCATTTTGGCTGTTTGTGTTAGAATAAAGGTATTTAAATGCTAGCATGTCATGACATCTCCAAACGCGTATTGCTGTGCAAAAAAAATTCATGATGGGTGTGAGCAGTATGTCTCATAAGCAAGAAATCTCATCTGTTGCAAGGGAAATCTTTTATTTAATGAAAACATTTGCAAATAGCCCCAAATCAATCACTTTGTCATAAGGGAACCAAGTAGAGTGTATGTGCTGTCTTAATCTTTACAGCCAACAGCGGTTGTGACTTTTTGCAGTGTGGCAGCTGAATGCCCAGGGAAGCACTGGGGTGATGTCTGGGAACTCCATCTGAATGCTTGTCTATGCCCATGCCCCAGGATAAGGACTCAGGGCTGGAACACATTGTTTATCTGTGGCAGTGGCTGGGCGGGAGGTGGAAAGTTCTGCTAGGACGTTGCATTTTGGAGTATGCCATCCCAAATCTGTCTCTTTAGATATGTCACTTATCAGTTGGAAGATCTCTGCTGAGGTTAAAGCTGTGACTTGTGAGATACGCAGAGGAAATACCTTAACTCTACCCTGCAGTGGTACTGTTTGGATGGGCTGTTTCTTGCAAGCTCTGCCTGAGGTGGGAGGCACTTGGATGTCCAAGTCCCAGGCTGTTGGCATTCTTTTCACACCTATGGAAATCACCATTAGTGCTTTTAAGAGTGGTGCTTGTTACCTTTCCAGCTTAGCTTCTGAAACACTTGGATCATGGTGTGAGTCGCTCAAAGTCAAGCTGAGCACAGAATTGGTTGCATCTGACTACACAGGTTTCACCTCCAGTGGATTCTCTTTGGCCATGGCAGGTTCAGAGTAGTATCCTTTATGAAATGTTCAGCTACAGAATTTGTAATAAGATGAAAAACTCACAAACTGGGAAAAGATTTTTCCCAGAAGCTGCCATGGAACAACACAAGAGTTGAAATTGATGTGTCACAGTTCCTGTTTCCTGCTCCTGCATTTCTAAGTCTTACATGTGCAGACAGCAGTAATAAATTAATAAAGACTAAAGCACTAGCATGTTCTAAAAGTGAGAGTATGCATTGAAACCTACAGTCATTAGTTAAACCTCTCTTGGGTGCAGCTTGGGACTGTCAGCTTGAAACTGGTCAGCAG